TGTCAAAAATGAGGTGGGTATAGTTGTGTGGATTCATATCTGGGTCCTCTATTCTGTTCCACTGGTCTTCATGTCTGTTTTTATGCCAGTACCATGCTGTTTTTATTGCTATTGCCTTGTAATATAGTTTGAAGTCAGGTATTGTGATACCTCCAGCATTGCTCTTTTCTCTAAGTATTGCCTTGGCTATTCGTGGTCTCTTTTGTTTCCAAATGAACATTAGGGTAGATTTTTCAATCTCTGTGATGAAAGTCATTGGGATTTTGACTTTCAAAAACATGTAGATTGCTTTCGGTAGTATAGCCATTTTTACTATGTTGATTCTAACAATCCATGAGCACGGGAGATATTTCCATCTTCTGTAGTCTTCCTCAATCTCTTTCTTCAGTAGTTTGTAATTCTCTTTGTAGAGGTCATTCAATTCCTTTGTTAAATTTACTCCTAGGTATTAGATTTTTTTTGAGGCTATTGTGAATGGAATTGTTTCTATGTATTCCTTCTCAGTTTGTTCATTGTTGGTGTCTAGAAAAGCTAATGATTTTTGTAGGTTGATTTTGTATCCTGCTACCTAACTGTAGCTGTTTATGGTGTCCAAGAGTTTTTGGGTAGAGTTTTTTGGGTCTTTAAGGTATAGGATCATATCATCTGCAAATAAGGATATTTCGACAGCTTCTTTACCTATTTGTCTTCCTTTTATTTCTTCTTCTTGCCTAATTGCTCTGGCTAGAAATTCCAGTACTATGTTGAATAGGAGTGGGAATAGTAGGCACCCTTGTCTTGTTTCTGATTTTAGGGGGAATGGTTTCAGTTTTGTTTTTTTTTTATGATGTTGGCTGTAGGTTTTTCATATATAGCCTTTACAATGTTGAGGTACATTCCTTCTATTCCTAGTTTTCTTAGAGCTTTTATCATGAAGTGGTGTTGGATCTTGCTAAGGCTTTTTCTGCCTCTATTGAGATGATCGAGTGGTTTTTATCTTTGCTTCTATTGATGTGATTACATTTATAGATTTGTGTATGTTGAACCAACCCTGCATCCCTGGGATGAAGCCAACTTGGTCATGGTGAATGATCTTTTTGATGTGTTGTTGGATTCGGTTTGCCATTATTTTATTGAGGATTTTTGCATCCATGTTCATTAGGGAAATTGGCCTGTCGTTCTCCTTTTTGGAGGTGTATTTGTCTGGTTTTGGGGTGAGAGTAATATTGGCTTCATAAAATGAGTTAGGCAGTGTTCCTTCCCATTCTATTTTGTGGAACAGTTTAAGGAGAGTTGGTATTAGTTGTTCTTTAAATGTCTTATAGAATTCAGCAGTGAATCCGTCAGGTCCTGCACTTTTCTCTTTTGGGAGGCTCTTGATGGCACCTTCAATTTCTTTTTGTATTACAGATCTATTCAGGTGATTAATATCCTCTTCCCTCTAGATTTGGGAAGTTTTCTGTTATTATTTTGTTGAATATATTACGCATTCCTTTTGCTTGCATCTCTTCTCCTTCTTCAATGTCCATGATTCTCAGGTTTGGTCTTTTGATGGAGTCAGTGAGTTCTTGCATTTTCACAGGTCTTGAGTTGTTTAACTAATAGTTCTTCAGTTTTTCCTTTATTTGCCATTTCATCTTCAAGTTCTGAGATTCTGTCTTCTGTTTGTTCTATTTTGCTGGAATGGACTTCCATTTTGTTTTGTATTTCTGTTTCATTCTTTTTTCTGAGGTTTTCCATATTATGGGTTATTTCCTCTTTAATATTGTCAATTTTTGACCTTAATTCATTTATCTCTCTGTTTATGGTGGTCTTAGTTTCAGTTTGGTGTTTATTTAGGGCTTCTATGATTTCATTTATTTGTTTTTGTGTTTTCTCATATTCTTTGTTTTTGTCCTCTTGGAATTTCTTGAGTGCCTCCTGTACATTTTGATTGACCATGTCTAGTAATAGCTGTATGAAATTCTCATTAATTACTTGTAGGATTTCTTCTTTCAGGATGTTCTTGTGGGCTTTGTTGATTTCCTAGGTATAGTTTATCTTTGTTTTGTTGGAGTTTGGGTCTGGGTATCCGTTTTCTTCATTTCACTCTAAATCCTGCTGTACTTTATTTTTTAGGGGGGAATAGTTTTCTTCCCTTTTTCTTCTTCCCATATTTCCACCAGGTAACGTTTCTATCCCTGAACTATGTGTAATTTAGTATTAGCTAGGTACGAATATTAATACTGAGAAAACCAAGAAAGAAGGATTAAAAAAAGAGAGATGGAAAGATAAAAGGAATAGAGAATAGAGGAAAAGAGAAAAAAATGGTAGAGATGGTGGATGATCAAACAGTAAACCAGGCAGCAAATCCCTTAAAGAAGGGGAAAAAAAAATCACCAGTTCTGGAGCAGTAGAATTGCAGTCTTAGTTGTTCTCGTGCTAGTTCTTTAGCATCCAGACCTGTCTGTATGTGTCTGTTAGGTAACTTTGGAGACTTTCTGTGGCAAGTGGATGGTGGGTGGGTGTTCCACAGGCCTTTGGGTTGAGGCCTTTAGCTGAGGTGAAGTAACAGGCCTTTGGAGCGTGGACTTGGCGTGCCTGAAGGGTGCAGGCTGGCAGAGTGGAGATCCTGCATGTGTGGATCCCCAGCTTGGCAGGCCTGAGGGGCACAGTATTGCAGAGTGAATATTGTGCAGGGCTGTGGAGACCTTGGGATCATGGCCAGCAAAGCAGAGATCCTATAGGACTGGGGGGCATGGCCCAGTGAAACGGAGCTCCTGCAGGGCTGTGTAGGCCTTGGGGGCATGGCCCAGCAGAGATCATGGCGTGGCCTAGCAGAGATCGTGAATGTCTGTGGATCCCTGGCCTTAAGGGCTCATCCCATGAAGATCCTGCAGTTCTGAGAGGTGGGAGTTTGGGGTAGCACAGTCCTGGCGGGGCAAAGGAGCAGGGCCGGAGGATCGGAGATCCCATGGCGTATGGAGCAGTGCCTGCTGTTCTTTTAGTATGTGGTGGGGTGGAGAGGCCTCCCATGAGCTAGGGGTTCAGAGTGCTGATATTTCAGCTCTCCCTGGTGTTTTACCTCATTCAAGTAAGTCTCCAGCTTCTTATCAATGTCCCTGGATCACAGAGGTCAGAAGGTCTGTGGCTGCATTCCAGTTGCCATCTTGGATCTCTCCTTCTAGAAATTGTATTTAGATGGCAGTGATTTTCCTGGCACAGTAAAATCACAGTGTTGGAGTGAATACATAGGGAACCATTAATATGGTAGAAATCAGGTAATAGCATGGCTTTTCTTTGGTGTACCCATAACCACACTACCTTTCCTAATTTACTAGACAGTTAATTCATTTCTTTAAACATAAAATGTATCCTTTTTTTTTTACTTATTTACTTTACTTACAGTCAGATATTTAACTACAGACAAGAAAAAAAAAACAGTTGTTGATTGTACACAAAGGTGGGAAAGGAAGATTCAGTGTTTCTTAGACAAACCTTCACTTAATTGTCATTTTGTTGTCACGTATCTCCCAGAAATATCAAGTTATTCCTTTAATTGCAGCCCTTTCTATTTCTTCTGTGATTACTCTTTCATTTGTCTTACCTTGTATCATTTGTACTAATGACTCTCTCCTTTCATTGTTGTGAATTTGTATTTCTCCTCCCCCAAGATAACTTTTTATCTTTTAAGGGGAATATCTACAGACAGAATAAAAGTGTATGCTGTTTCATTTCCTACCTGCTATGGTTACGATATGGTTGGTTCCTACCAAAACTGGTGTTGAGACTTGGATTCTAATGTAGCAGTGTTGGGAAGTGGAGCCTCTTGGGAAGATTGTGGGCCATTGGGGCAGGACCCTCAGGAATGAATTCATGCCTTCTTGCCCTTCTACCATGAGGGCTTCACCAGGACCTAAGTCAATGCCAGCACTATGCTGTTGGACTTCCCAGCCTCAGAACTGTGAACCAAAATAAACCTTTTCTTTAAAAATAAATTATCTAGTGTCAGGTATTCTGTTATAGCAACAGAAAACAGACTACAATTCTAAACAAAATTTTTATTCACATAGTTTTAAATGTAATGTGTACATATCAAGAGATGCAACAAATTCCCACAGGAAAAATAATAAAATCTTTGTGTGTGAAAATAAGGCCTCAAAATGATATATTATACATATGGCTTAAAAAACTTATTGCTGTACAGTTGCTCAATTTAAGCAATGCACTCTCAATAAATTCTTCAGTCTTTCTTTTGATGGGGAGAGGAAAATACTTAAGAAAAGATTCTAAAATTATATGGAAAAGCAACAGTCAGTAGGCAAAAGCAGCAATAATGTACTTTGGTGCAGGAAGAGACAAGGAAACCAGCACTGTCTTTAGTGCAAATGTAGTCCATGGACCAAGAGTATCGGTAGCTTATTAGAATACAGACTCTCAAGGCCAGTCCCAAATCAATTTAATTAGAATCCTTTTTGGCAAGATTTTCAGTTACTTTGAGTATCTTCAAAGACATTTTTAAATAAAGATATTAAATGGTATATTTAAATAATATGAAGGTTGTGATCCATAAATACCAAGTGTCAGAATCCAGGAATCTATTTTTTATCAAAATCAATCAAAAAGTGGGAAAAAAAGATGATTTTAATAAACAGTCTGGGTCATATTGGTAACTAAACAGAAAAAACAGTAATTGGTTTGAATGGCATTGCAACCATGCCTTCCTCTTTGAGCTTCATAGCTTTAGGAGTGATCAATTTTTAGTGAAAGTAAAGGAATGCATTTTCCTAGATACCACTATTATGTATGTGCCTACACTCTATGGACCATCTTGTTAATAAACTTTTCTTAGGTACTCCGTCTTTAGGATGTCTATGTATTTCCAGCATACCTTGTTCATGGCTCAAGCCTATAGGTCATAATTTAATGAGAGAACTCTTATTACCAGTGCAGACAATTAATGTTGAGAATGTTCTTTTCCCCCCAACTGTGGTAGTGATAATGCTTTGTCCAATTATTTTATAGGTACATTTTGTAGATATTGGAAAATCCTGCTGAAGGTACAAAAGAATGGACAGTTCTGCTAATAACTCTTGAGGAAATAGTTTTCTACCTGCTCAAGATTAGAAGACAAGCTCATTCTTAGAGTCTTCTGAAATAAAATTAAGTAAGAAATGTTTTTCTTCATATTTTGAATAATTTGTACTCTGCCTACTCAGTTTCCTTCAAGGTTTCTATAATTCTATTTCTTTGGCCTCTAAGAGAATACAGTTAGTATTTTCCTTTAGGAAGTGAGTGTGCCAGCCAGCTGTCAGCCTTATGATATACCTGATCTCCCATGTCAGGGAAAGCACAATTCAATTTTAAATAGTGCAGCAGGGCTGCCAGTGTCTCTCTTAATGTTGCTTTCTTTGAAATTCTCCATTCTATGCAAACAGTATACTTTTCTTTATAAATCCTTTGTGTGAGATGAAATCAGGACTAACTGGCTTTACTTGTCTTTGGTTAAAAATCAATGAATTGAATGAAATTATCCATATTTCTGTTTTGCTTTCTCATTTCTAGAAAATAAAGTACCACTGCTTGTTTAACTTGTGACTTGTCTAAACGTGTTGAAAGCATTCACTATAAGGCATAACACTGAGGCTCTGAAAGGGAACTATGACAAGTTCAGTCAAAAGGGAAAAGAAGAATAATTTATAAAAGATGCTACAGATAATGATGCCAGCCAGTTATTTTAAAATGCATCCATCTCACCTTTTAATGAATTGTATTTGTCAACAGCAAATGTTTTATGCACTACTCCTAATAAAAGTGCACACTAGGATTGCAATGCTTTGAGGTTGGCTTCTTCAAAGCTTTAGAGTATTTTCAATTCAAAGATTTTTTAAATAATAGATATTAGAAAGTTTATTTAAATAATATTAAGGTTGTGACACAAACACCAAATGACAAAATTCAGGAGTTTCAAAGCAGTGGTTGACATGCCATCACTATTTCACATGATAACTGTTTTTTAAATTAGGTGGATAATAGACTGATTTGGGGATTTTATGTCAGTTTAATTTTAAGTTCTCTTGGTGTCACAACCTTTATGTCAACTTTTCAAATAGGTTTCTACATTTCCTTTGGTTTGGGGTCATTAAAAAATGCATATGATAAATCTAAGAGGCATAAATAGGTTGTACTGAAGTGTGGAATTCCTTGCTTCCCTGGAGTTGAGAGACAGCTCATACCTGCCTTATAAGTGGAAAAAGTTAGTTCAACCAATTTCAGTGGAGTTTTGTTTTTCAGGTATTTGTTTCCAAAAAATGCAAACCCAAATAACAAGACATGATATTAAATAAAATTCTATTCACACTCTGTTCTTCTTTTACTCCTAATGGTTAAACTACAAGAATCACAGTTCCAACAATTGATTTTTTTCCTCTGAAAGTACAGTTTTATTTCACTTGGAGAATCCTTATTTTATATTTTATATAGTTGAATTCATATAAAAACCTGCCTTATAAACTTCCAAATGTAGTTTTTCAGATAAAGCATTTTTATGCAGATATTTTGGGTAAAACCTTATTTTTTAAAGTAATACTTGTCTTAGAAAGTAAATTATAAAGTAAAACCTGGTAAGTTAAAAAGAAACTCTAGTGCCACACCAGTCGTTAGGGAAGCTGCAATGAGCATTCTTTACCACAGGCTTCAGCAAAAGAGAAAAAAGGGAGAGAGGAGGGAGAGAATAATGTAGCCAACCAAGGTCTTCTCTTTCCCTTGATTCTTATATCTGTCATGATTTTATAGGGAAGGTCTATATTGCTGTGTTGAATCCAGTTTTAATTTTAAAAATAAGTGAAATAGAATTTGTTCCACAATTTTTAGAATTGCCTATGTTAGAAAAATAAAAGATGACAAAATAGAAATTGCTTATTTATCTTTTTTTTTTTTTTTTTTTGGCTGAATCTTAAAGATACTCACCAAGCAAACAGACTTCATAGCTCTCATCTTCTTGATTGAACTATCAGGTTTTACCCTTTCTGTTCATACCTGGGAGAACATTAGTGTTTATTTTCTCATGTACTCCATTCCTTCTAAGTCTGTATTTTTCAACCACTGTTGAATTTGACACATTTCTTAACAGTTTTCATTTGGGAAGGTGCTGCTGAAATTTTTATCTTTATTTCAGGTCTTACCTTTACTTTTTCTACCCTAGTTCATCCTATATAACATCATTCTTAAGTCACCACAATTCCGATAGTAGTATGCTTTCTAAATCCTTGTCCTTGGTAGCAAGTGCTTTGAAACTGTAGAGTTATCTGTGAAGGATTTGGTTAAATCCTCCAAACTCATTTAAATGTAGTATTTCTCAGAGAAAATTTAAAAACCATTGTTATTGTACATACTAATCCTATTTGTAATGTCTGTTTCATAAAAATAAATTTTTAAAGCAAAAATGGCTGTTTCTAAATTCAGAGGAAGCTATTCAAATAAATGAATTAGAACACAGTGTGTACCTGTAGCATTAAAAAAAAGTCTTCTGGCATTGAAACAAAATATGGTTTTAAATGTCATAGACCAAGCCAGCTTTGTGCAAATTCATTTATAGCAGTTTCAGATTTATGTATTTAATAAAGCTAGGTAGTAGATCTAGATTATGTATTTAATGTCTTTTGGTGTACAGTGATGTTCTAGTGACTGCTTGGTAAGCATGGTGATGTTTTATTTAGTGATTCTGCTAGATCAGTCCAATCTATAAATGGCTTTCTAATGGGATACAATATATCCTTTTATTATTTTTCAACAATACCAAAAGATGACATTTATTTTGTCCTTTCTGTATGCTAGGGACTATTCCTAGTTCTATCTATGGGTTAACTCATGTAATCCTAATAACAGTCCTTTGTTGATCTCCCTGTTTTACAGTTGTGGTAGAGGTATCTAGGGACAAGATTACACAATTAATAGATAGTGGAGCTTATGTTCCAGCACAAGCAGTATGATGCCCGGAGTCAAGCTCTGAATCCTTGCTACTCAAAATAGACTCCGGGCCGGCAGTATCACCATCACATTGGAACTTGTTAGAAGTACAGAAGCTCAGACCTACTGAAAATCTACATTTTTCACAAATAATGGTTGGCACATTAAAATTTGAGAGAAACAACTCTAAATCTCTATGCTGTCCTTACATTTAGAATTAATTATCTTTTAACTAAATTTCTAATTTTACATATGATACCGAAGTCCATTTTTATGCCAACTTGAGGATTCCCATCATATCTCAAGTACATTATCATTACTAATAGCTAAACATAGCAGGGAGGAGGTAGACCTAAGTTATCTTGAAAGCAATTGTATAAAAGACAGAATAAAAATCCCACAACATAAACAGCAAGCCTTTCTTTCTACAGAGATAGATCATTGCTTCAACATCTAACCTTAAAATAGCGTAGCACACTGACTTTGAGGACAAACTGGAGGCAAGATGCCTGTGTTCGAATCTCACCTCCTATTTCTAGATATGGGATCTCAGGAACTTACATAACTCTGTACCTCAGCTTCCTCACCTGGAAAGCAAGGTCTAAAGTCATACTTACGGTATTGCAAGGATTGATGAGTGAAGGCACGCAAGGGGTTCACTTACAATTCTGAGATAAGTGAGTGAAAGTTATCTGTGGTTCTTAGCTATGATTCCTTTCTTTGAAGAGAATAGATTCACACCTCATGCTTCTTGGTTTTTCTCTTGGTAATTAGTTGACAAATACATTTTGTTAGCAGAGCTCACCACATAAGATATATTTTCTGTCAGAGTCCAAGTCACAAACTTCAATTTTGGTGTGTTCTGCAAAGTTTTCTCTTGTGGCAGTTTCTGCCTGTGAGTGTTACTAAATGCCACTTGATTATGATGCTTACCCAGTTAAATCCCATGCAATCAGTTCAAAATCAAAATGAAATATGTCAACAATATATTGTAGTCTTAAATGTATGTGCTTCTAAACTGAATAAAGATAATGAGATGCTAGCCCATTTTGTCAATCTCTTATATAAGCAATGTAGAAAAAAATAGATTTATAAAGAATGTTTGTTTAAAGGCCAGATGCTGCAGAAGTTGCTTTGTTTCCTGCGGGTGGTCATAATTCTGATATTGTTATGATAATCTTCAGGGGAATAATGGTTTGCTCTGCCAATATTCACCTAACAACTTTTCAGAAATCTAAAGTATGAAGTGAGATTCCATGTTCTTAGAAAACAACACTTTGAAAGCTTATTTGGAAAAGGCATCAAGATAAAAATATTTGCTGAAGAGAATGCTCTGAAAATTTTTAAGCTGCCAATTTGGGTACTTAACAGCTAGAGAGTTTCATTTACCACATTTGAAATTGCCCAGGTATTTAAATTTTTGACAAGTGTCTCCAGTAATTAAGCTTTATTGAGTTTTTGACTACACTTTGAGAAACACTATAATAGAGGTTAAGACATGGTTTTTAAGAAGGCTTCTTTGACTGCCTATTCCTTTTTGCAACATTGTCTTCTTTATTCTTGTTTTTCTGCAACCTCTAATCCCACTTTCTTTACATTCCTTGCCATTTTCTGTATAATCCATTAGTGGTCCCCAACCAATCCTTAATTTTCTGCTTTTCTCTCCCCCACCCCTTTCTTAAAGAGCATCTCTTCTGAATTTATCAATCACATTTTTTCAGATAGTTATGTAAAATGATCATGAAGTTCTCTTTTAATCAAAAAATCTCTTAAACCAAACTACTACAGGTGCTGAAATCTATTTAGAATCTGTGAGCAGCATTAAAGGTTAAAAAAAAAAAGTAATAGAATAGAGTAGAATAGAAAGTAGAAAATACCAGGTCAAATACTTAAGGTAATAATGCTTTGTAAAACTTTTAAGATGTATACATACATCCACACATACACATTAGATTGCTATGCTTTTTCTTTTTAGTAGTGGAGTTTGAACTCAGGGCCTACACCTTGAGCCATTCCACTAGCCCTATTTTTTTGTGTGTGAAGGGTTTTTTGAGATAGGGTCTTGCAGAACTATTTGCCCTAGCTGGCTTTGAACCGGGATCCTCCTGATCTCTGCCTCCTGAGTAGCTAGGATTACAGGCCTGAGCCACTGGCACCCAGCAGCTTTCTGCTTCTTAATATGACTATATTTTCACATTC